CTTTCTTTCATGTGTGTTTTCTGGTTCGTTTGGTTTTTAGTTTTTAGGGTCAAGAGGGTCTATGTTCCTGATTGTGTATTTTCATGGTGGAGGTGAGACGGCCGCCCAGTGAAAGATCCCAACAGGAAAACTAGTTCCTGGAGGGGGGACAGGCCTCCTCTCTCTCCCGACCCCAGCCCTGGAGTCCTCTCAGAGGCGGAGCTGCTCTGGAGCCAGGTGACCTGGGGTCAGACCCCAGTGCTCACCAGCTCCTGTGGCCTTGAACTGGGCACCCYGCCCTGTGCACCCCAGTTTCTTCATCTGTAAAATGGGAGAATCACTGCTGCCCTCGTAGAGCTTCGCGGGGACTGAATGAGATCACACTCCAGGGCGTACAGAGAAAGCGCTTCGCGGGTGTTTGTCAGGAATCGAGGACGGGGTGTTGGGCACACTCTGGACGAGTGGTTCTGCACCGTGGCAGCACACGGGAATCACCGGGGGACTCTGAGCTTCCGGGTGCCTGGAGCACCCCACAGCGATCCTGGTCTTGGTATGCAGTGCAGGCAGAGGCTGGGATTTCTTTCATGCTCCACACGGCATCACAGTGTGCAAGCAGGACTGAAAATGAGTGTGCTCCTTATTCCCCATGTGCATCCRTTAGCATAGGTGAGGTACGCTGCAGTAACAAACATCCCCAACTCTATTTCTCAGTCTACCTTTCACTGTGGTGTAAGTCCATTACCAGCAGCAGCTGGATGGGTGCCACCTTTAGCCTGGAACCCAGGCAGACAGAATAGCCTTCATCCAGAACACGCTCCCTCCTGTGAAGTGGGAAGAAAGGCAGCTTGACACACCTGCATCAGCTCACGGAGGCCCTGGCCAAGAGGGAAACTCCACTTCTGCCCACGTAGTATCATCCAAAGCCAGTCACGTGGTCACACCTGAGTTCAACAGGGTCACTGTATTGGGGACAGCAGACTCTTTCTGATAGCCAAGTTTGTAGACCAACGGTCAGGCCCTCCCAGTGCCCACACACCTYCCCTGAAGCCTTCCCGGCGTCCCACAAAACCAAAAAGTGCTGTCCCTGGGCGCTGACRTGTTTACCAAGATCTGAGTGGGTGCTCCGGGGTCAGGACAGTAGTTACTTTGGGAAGGCACAGAGGAGAGAGGAGGGATTAAAGGTGACGGTCAGAGCCAGGTCTTGTAGCCCACGCTGGCTACAGCCACTTCCGTAGGATGTGTCCTGGTGGCACGGTCACTGAGGTGTCTRCAGAGCCAGGTGTTTGCAGGAGACTTCACACTGGAGCGGGTGGATAGGACCTAGCAGCCGGCCCTGGAGGCTGGGCGCCGTCACCAGCCCGGCCCCCACGGGCACACTCCAGGCCACTCGGGAGCTGGCCGAGGAGAAGGACCCACGCTGCCCTCAGGGGTGGGCAGGGAGGCTGAGACCCAGAGGCTGCGCCTGCATGRGACTGTGCCTTCTCTCTCCCACAGGACACCACGACGTCCGTGCGCATCGGCCTGATGATGGAGGAGATGATCTTCAACCTGGCGGACACACACCTCTTCTTCAATGACCTGGAGGTTTGCAGTCCCTGGTCCCCGTAGGAGTTGCCATATTTAATCACCTCCTCCAGGGGAGAGCAGATGCTTCTTTCCACCTCTTCTTTCTTTTCTTTCCTTTTTACATCTCTTCTTCTTTTAGAGGCTTGAAACTTTTGCTAGCCACCCCCAAGAAGGCCCAGAACTGGGCCAACAATGGCCTATTGGAAACACTTGGCCGGATTAACTCCCTGCCTTCCTGCGCGGCTCTCGGGCCTTCTCCCTGCCCCGGTGATGTCCAGGGCAGTCCTGCTAATCCAATAAGGGCCGTGTCGCTTCTTCCTCCTGAAATTTGCTGTTTAATAAGTTTATTAAGGCAAATGAGGGCAGATCCTCCTGGGTCAGCGATGATTAGCAGTGGGCCAGGATGGAAGCTTTTAAAAACAATTTACATTCCCCTGAAAGCATGTTTTACAAAGAAAGAGAGTGAGAGCGAGCGGAGGGACTAATCTTATTTAGTGTATCTGCTCCTGAGCCCCCAGGCAAGATGCAAGGGAGGTAGGAAGGAGGGGGGCAGCTTCGGAAATAAACTTAAGTCATTTATTTCCGACAGTCTCTGTCGGAAAGATTCGGGAAGGACTTCAAATGGAAAACATATTTAAAAGAGAACTATTTAAGCAAAGGGATCAAGAGCTGCGTCATGAATTTTTTAAAAATTCAGGCTCAGAACTGCTTTTGTCATGTTCAGAGTGAATCTGAGCTTCCTGGTGACCAAAGCAAGAAGGGAAATATGAATTACTTCCCTCAAATGGAGGAATAAGCAGCTCTCCTCAGGTGAAGAGAGGTTGGAGTGATAGAAAAGATCAGTGTGAGGCTCTTCTGGCTTTGTAGATGACAATCAGGTTTTTGGCTCACAGATTGAAAAATAAAGGCATCTTACCATGAAACTGTATGTGAAAGAACAATTCTATTTATCCTACTAGGAACAGTTTTCTCAGTCTCTAGAAAATCCCTGGGACTGAGCTGTAGAGCTGAAATATAAAGGTGTGGATTCCAAACCTGTCCTTGCCCAGGGCAGTGTGAATATTCATCCTCAGGAAGGGTCCTCCGGCTAGAGACAGGAATCCTGGCAGTCTTGGGCTCTGTCTTTCCATCCAAAAGACAGACTCGATGTTCTCTGCCCCACGAGAACCCGATTCAAGGAAAGGGTCTGGGTGGAAAGTGAGTAAGGAGGAGCCTCGGTGTCGGGGAGAACGCCTCTGGCAGCGAGGCCAGCGCTGTCCTTGGCCAAAGCAAGGTGCAGGTGCTCTTGAGCGCCCTCCCATGGCGGGGGGAGAACAGGAAGAGAGAGAGCTCGGGAGGGTTTGTTTGTTTGTTTGTTTGTTTGTTTGTTCGTTCGTTTGTTTGATGGCCATTAAATTCAGCAAGTGTTTCTGGAACCTGTAACAAAGACTGAGCTGACTGGGAATATCAAAATCTAACTTGCTTTAGAATAAAAAGGGAGGGCACGGCGGGCCCTCGGGATCTCCTGTTTGCAGGGGGGGGCACCCTGATTTGCATAAACCCCCAGGGCCCAGGCAGAAACAGCCAATCAAATCCAAAAGTGAGCCTGTCTGTGACAGCAGAAGGGGTGCAAGGAGCATCAGAGGTCAGAGGTGAGAGCGGTGGTGGGCTGATGGCATCCTCCAGGGACGGTGCTCCAGGGGAGTGAGGGCAGGCGCCGGCCAGACATGGATCCCAGCAGGTGGGACAGCAAGTGCCAAGGCCCTGGGGTGAGCACAGGAACTGGGTGACTGTTTAGGGACAGCCAGGAGGACGAGTCTGGAGAGGGAGGTGCCGTGGAATCAGCGTATCCCAAGTGCTGTGCAGAGCCACGGGAGAGGGGACACTAAGCAAGAGAGGCCACATGACCTGGTTTTCCAAAGACCACTCTGGCTGCTGCRTGGAGAGTGGGCAGTGGGCAGGGAGGCGTGGGGGTGGGAGCAGGTGAAGAGGTGGCCGTAGGCGACCAAGCAGGGGAGAACGGTGGGTTGGAGCCAGGGGTCAGGAAGGGCTTTGGGGACCAGGTGAAGCCCAGGGACTTGCTGAAGCGTGGGGTGGGGCAGAGGCTGGCAGGACTCTTGGCGTGGTCTGCCCGTGTGTGGTCAGTAGATGAGTCAAGCGGAGGGCGTGGGCATGCCGTGGGCACCCTCCTCGCATCACAGGCACCCGAGGCTCCCAAGGGCGCGGGAGGCTTGCCGCGGACCTGGGCTGGCCTGGGGGACCCCCGCGGGCTCCAGGCCGTGTCTTCAGAATCCCTTCCCCTCTGCTCTTTCTTGCTGGCCCCAAAGTCCAAGGCTGGGTCCCACCTCTTGTGAAGGGTCCTGATCACCAGCTGGAGCTKCGCAGCGAAGCCAGTTTGGTTTGATTCTCTAATGTTTTTTCAAAAATGTCCCCAGTGCCAGGAGCCCCCAGGGCACGTCGCAGCATTGAAACCAGGTTACRCCAGGAGAAGTTCAGACGCCCACAGGTGAAAGCCACTGTTTGTTGGTGCAGGCGCCTGTCAGAAGGCAAGCAGCAGCCCCAGGCTCCCGGGAGGCCAGGCAGGGAGGGCCTGTGGCCTGCCGAGGCCAGCTCCAGGCCTCTCCTTCAGAGGGACCTGCTCAGGGAGCAAAGTCAGATCCGCCGTGCCACCTGCAAATAAGGATTCCCTTCCTGCCTCCAGCAGCTTCTCCCCAAGAACTCACCCCCGGCTGAGTGCTGCSCGCTCAACCACACTCAAAACCAGCCAGAGGCCGGCTGGATGGCACACATCCTCCTACTCAGGAGGCTGAGGCAGGAGGATCACAAATTCAAGGCCAGCCTCAGCAACTTAGATCCTSTCTCGAAATATTTTTTAATTTTCTGAAAGGGGTGGGGTGTGAGTAGAAGTAGAACACCCTTGAGTTCAGTCCCCAGTGGGAACRAGACCCATGACCTCAAGGCACTGGCCTCTTGGTCGGGAGGCAGACCTTAAAGAACTGAATCTAGACTCTCGTGTCCAATAAGGAGCAGTCCAAAGAGACCAAGAAAGAAAGGGCAGCAGAAGCTGCTGTCACGGGGTATTGTCTCGCCAGGAAAKTCCTCTGACATTTAAACAGACACCTGCAGAGGTGAGAGAGGGGCCACGTGGGCATCTGGAAGATGTTCCAGACAGAAGGACAGCAGTGCAAAGGTCCTGAGGCATGTCCCAGGTTGGTGGGTTCCAGGGAGAGGAAGGAGGCCAGTGCCGCCGAGTGGAGGGGCAGGAAGGGCTGGGGCGGGCACTGGGGCAGGGCCTTTGGCCACTGCCAGGCTTTGGATCCCACCCTAAGGGTGACAAGGGGCCACTGGACACCTTTCAATGACATGACAGGCTGACTGTGGCTGCCCAGGGGAGAAGAGAAGCAGGTGTCTGTGCCAGGTCACTGGCTCTGAGGAYCCCAGGTGGCAGCACTCCCAGAGGAGAGCCCAGAGGCCCGAGGGCCGGTCGGGATGGCGGGGATGTGCACCCAGGCTCCACCTTCCCCTGGCTGTGTGACCTGGGCCAGCGGCTCCACCTCTCTGAGCCCCAGTCTCCTCCTCTGTTAGCTGAGCCGAGGGGAAGCCCCGCCTCTGGGTGGTCACTATGAAGGGGGCCAGCACAGGGTCCCACAGTCTGGGCTCTGAGCACCCCAGGGACACCGGGAGGGTGCCACCTTCCGGATGGTTCCATTTTCTTCGTCGGCAATTATGTCACTGTGAATCTGGAAAACAGAGCTGGCTTCCCGACTCACCCCCACAGCAAGGCACACGGAGGCGGGGCGCCCTGTGACAGCGGCCACCCATCACAGCGGCCCACTGAAGTCTTGTGACACAGCTGCTTGTGGCCCGTCACAGCGGGGGACGTGGTGGCCACGCTGTGATCCCACTCCCTGGGGGCGGGGGCGGGGGAGTCCCCTGAGCCAGGAGCCCAGGTCCAACAGGCAACAGGCAAGTCCCCATCTCAGAAGGAAGGGAAGGGCCACCACAGTGTCTGAGGTGATGGTCTTTAATGATTCTAAAAGGGAGTGAAGTCGAGTGAGTGGGGCACGTGATGAACAGTCGCGGGATTGTCCAGAAACCCGCTCCCGCGAGAGCCCCGCCCGGGCCTGGGCCTGCACAGCGCAGACCAARGCTCACAGTCACGGCCTCCAGCCCGGGGCCTCCACCCCACTGCCCGAGGACAGAGAGCGGCGCAGGGACCCTAAGGCGTTTCCAGAAAGAAGGACGAGGACGGTGTGACCAGGGGTCATGACACGGTGGGGGCTGGTGTGGGCACACAAGGAGGTCATGGGCACCATCCCAGAGGTAGCCGATGGGTGCCAGCCAGTGAYTGAAGAGCCACCTGCCTGTCCCTCATCATGTGGGCCACAGCCAAGGGAGACCCGCGCCCCCGCTGCAGAGACAGGACACTGGCACCGAAATCCCCACTGCGACGCGCACCACGGACCGACTGCACCTGGCACCCCGCGCAAGGACCCCCTGAGTCCTGACCCCGCCTGCAGGGAGGTGTCCTTCCCTCTGCCCAGACAGGACACTGGGGCCCAGCGGGGACACACTCCAAGAGCCAGCGGACGGACGCGGTGTGGGCCTGGGCTGTTGGTCCCTCGTGGAGTCGCACGTTGGAGGTGACTTGTGAACGAGGATGAGCAGAGCCCTGGAGACTCTCGGCCAGGAGCAAGGGGAACGTGAGGGTCCCGGCGGGGCAGCCTGGGAGCCTTCCGGAGCAGCCTGGCGGCCTGGTGGGGCCCCGGAGCTTTGGGACCGACCAGGCTGGCGGGTCAGAAGCGGCTGGAATGGGGGCGGCCGGGGCTGCTGACCGTCTGCATCACGGTTCCGCAGGAGCCTTGGGGAGAGCGTGTCACTGTGTTAGGTCTGAGCTGCTGTCACAGTGTCCTTCCCCACGGGCCACAAAGACAGCGCAGGCCAAGCCCCGCGTGCTCTCGGGACAACTGAACATGGAGACAGCGCAGGAAGACAGCCCGTCCCCGCCAGGCAGCGCACCCCCCGGGCTGCTCTGGAGA